GCTCTGGGAGACAGATCCATAGTCTCCTACAGACAACCACCTAACCTCAGGATGATTCTTACCTACAACCACAGGACATACCACACTAATACCAACCCTGGAACTTTTCCTTGCAACAACCCCCGTTGCCAGCTTTGTCCACATATTTACTCTGCTGACACCGTTATTAGACCTAACCAATTCAGTAATAAGATCAAGAACACATATTCCTGCTCATCCAGAAATATAATTTGTCATCATGTACCAACAGTGTCAATCTGCTATGTATATTGGACAAACGTCTCAGACGCTTCGCCAAAGAATCAATGCACACACAACGGACGTCAGACAGTATCATAAAGAAAAAAGTTTCTTGCCATTTCAACCAGAAAGGGCATTGTCTCAATGACTTGATTACCTGCATGCTGCTTCAAAGGCATTTTAACACCACACTTGAAAGAGAAACCTCTGAACTGTTGTTCATGCTTAAATTTGACACTTTATGCCGGGGTCTTAACAAAGACGCTAATTACCTTACCCATTATAAAGATAGCTTCCCCAATTATCACCTCTAATATCATTAGCTCACAGACATTTACCTCCTTACCCCATCCCCCCTCTGTTTTGAAATTAGATTTGTCCTTTTTGTGTTCACTTTTTTTGATCGTATCCCTTTGGTATATATGGTCATGCCTATTTTCTTCCACAATTTGATCTGAGGAAGTGGGTTTGGCCCATGAAAGCTCATCACCTAATAAACCATCTTGTTAGTCTTTAAAGTGCTACATAGTCCTGTTTTTTGTTTCTGGTGTAAATTGGTAGAGACTACACTTGAAGACAGTGGATATATCCCAATTCACACCAGCTGTTTCTTACTTAACTTTTGTTCTGTGTAGAGGCCATACTATAAAGCAGAGGTAGGGACCCTTTCTGGGGGCCAGGGCCACTGACCCACAGAAAAATCAGTTGGGGGCCACACACAAGTGAGAAGCGAGGAGATGGGGAGCCCTCACTGACATGGCCCCCAACTAAGAAGAAAGATGCAGATCTTAGGGGGGCCCAGGCTAGTAGATTTTGTGTATTCTAACCCCACAGAGGGCCACAGGGTGGCTGGAGCACAGACTCCCCAATGCTGTAGGGTGGAGTCCGAAGCTCAGGGGCCAAATTCTACAAGCCGGTAGCCACATCCAGCCCACAGGCCTTTAGTCTCCCCACCCCTGCTATAAAGTGTCATTGGTGCATTCTGTTTATCGTGAGAACAGTTTTTATTGGTGGCTATGGCAGACTCATTTTAACCAGTGGAATTCATTACAATTTATGCTTTTGTTTAATATGATTAATCAGAAATATTCTTTTGCGGACTCAAGTCATATCTGCTTCTCTTTTACTTAAACTGGACGTTGGATATACCAATTTACTAATTTGGTATTACTTTTTGTTAACCAAGAGAATGCACACTGGAGAACGTCACATCTATATAGTTACTTAAATGTGCATAGACAGAGTACAATCTGGGCAATTGAACAGCTGCGTCCTCTCAACCTTCCAACCTTGGGACCCTTTCACATTGCTTGGCTATGAGAACTACTTCTCTTGGCCTGTTCACATACAGTCTCTAGAACATTCAAAATCACTCCCAGCTGAATTATATAAATGCTTTTAGCCAGCCACTTCTGAATGACGTTGCAGAGTGACACCAGAAAATTCTGTCCCAAACTTGTCCCCAGAAATGTGCGTTTTGTACTACCTAACTCTTTCCTTCTATGCAGTATAAGCTCATAGAAAGTCTATCGTTGCATTAATAGAAAATATGCACAGAGCTTGTTATCTCAGGGAGGAGACTGTGCATGCTCCCCCACCCCCAGGTCTTGATTGGCCTGGGGCGGGGGAATGATAAGGCAGCCACAGGTCAGATCAATGCACTTGGCAGGCCAGATCCAGCCCACGGAGGCTCTCTTCCCATCCCTACCATAGGTGTTTCCTACGGCGCACAGTCAGTCCAGAAAGGTATATGACCCATGCATCTTTTGGAACACTGGTCTGTTCAGGAAGCTGCAGGTGGGGACCTCTACATTTTGTTGCCAAAACTTGCCTTTTGGTGACAAAACAACGAAAGCTAGGGTTGCCAGGTAAACCGGACAGTCCAGTATTTGAGCTTTCTGTTCAGGGAGACAAATTGAGAAACTATAAATGTCCGGTATTTTCTAAATAAGATGTAATGTAGATTGTGATGTAAAGTGTGTCCAGTATTTTTGTTGAAACCATCTGGCAACCCTAAAGAGCTTACACTGCCATGCAACTATTGGGAAGGTGGGGGGCAGGGAGAGCAACCAGTTTTGTCAACAAAAAACTTCCAGCCCTGCAAGAGACTTCTTGCTTTTCCCCCCCTTTATTGTTGACAAAAAGCCAGCATGGACTCTGCTATTTGTTTGTTTTTCAGAGAACTGGCTTTGGCCAGTATCCCACAGTGCTCTAGCCCTGATAGCTGTGCTCAGCTTTGTGATATCTGCTGCCTGCGGACATGCAACCCTCCCTTTTTTTCAAAACTCTGGGAAGTATCTGACAGCTGAGTGACCTGCTTTGTTTGGGGAAACAAGGAAAGAGCAAATCACCAGAATGCTCCTGTTCTGCCCTGCTAGGAATACAGTGGCAGGCAGACTGCTGCTGCAGGGGGAGGCTAGTGAGACTTCTCTGCTGATTCTCTGCATTCTTTAGCACAGAGAGCTCACAGAGCTATGTCAAAATCCCAAGAAGCGCAAGGATCAGCTCTGCTCTCCCTCAGCACTGCACTGTGTTGTGCATTGTTTCACTCTATCAGTCCACAGGGTCCTAGCAATGTGCCATAAAATGTCCACAGTGGGACGCAGAAAAACCTGTTTGACCAATTTTAATTCTGGTGACTTTTGCATGTCGATAGCACTTTTGTTGTCGAACCTTCCCAGTGTGGAAATAGCTGAAGCTACACAGCAGTCTGTCGAGGGTTTCATGGGTATTTAGGGCTGTAGCAGGGGCAGGCCTCTATCCCTCAGCTCCAGCCCTAGAGATTCTATGGGTTGAGAGAAGCAAGAGGAGACACTCCTTTTTCCCCCCCTGAGCTCTGGCTCTCAGAGCTTCCACAGCCAGGGAGATAGCTGGGGGAGGGAGTTCTCTCCCCTCCATAGCCTCGGGGCAGCCAGCATCCAATACCCCTCATCCCTGGGCACACACCCTTTTGGAGCCCTCACCATTCCCATATCCCAATTCTCTGCCCCAGCCTTGGTCTCTCTCACACTCTGGACCTCTCGGTCCTACCCTCACCAAATGAATTTTGTTATATGCACCATCACCTCCATATTGATGCACATAACAAAAGTCATTCTGCACATGCATGGGGAAAAATTAGTGGGATTATTGCTTCCAGAGGTAATGTCTTAATGGCATGACCTAATTTACGGATTTATTGAAATTTACATCTCCATTTGAACTATAGGAGCATTAAGAACAACAAAACACTTGGCATTTACTTCCCACCTCACATTTTCAAGCAGCTGGACCAGAGCCCCTTTGTTCAAAACATCCTGTGCAAACACACAGAGAGAAACTATCCCTGTTTCAAGAGTTCAGTTTGCATCAGCAAGACAAAATAATTGTATTGCACAGGTTCTGGTTTGATCCAAATTGCTACTGTTTGGAAATCATCTTGGCTGCTCAGTCCCTCCATGCAGTTCTACAAGCTGTAAACTTAAAAAATACCAGTCTGAAAATAACAACTCATATGGGGTAACATCTGTGGGGTCTGCTCATCACAGCTCTTCTCACCCAGGCCTGTGAGCTATACCTTTTTTTTAAAATTTATTGATTGAAAAGAGTCTTAGATGCTCTTAGGGATTGGCCCTGCATCATGAAAACCTATGGGAGTGCTACCATTGTTTTCAAAGTGCAATGGGTCAAACCTTAAATTAGCTATCAGTTGAAAAGGTCTGTTTTGAGCTGCTGCTACTGACTATGTACTGGGTTCCCAATTTTGGATCAGGGTCTAACTCCCCCAAGCCCCAGAGTGATGTCTGCTTTGATGGGCATTTTCCTAGGGATAGTAGTGGGGTGAATGTAGTAGGGCTTCTGGAGTCTTCCCAGAGGATGCCAAAAATACTGAGCAGTCCATGCCCATCATTCTGCTTTTAATTCTGAAATGTCTTAAAATTAGAACTGGTAATAGATGCAGGTTCACTGTGAAAGCTGATCCATGCACTCAGGTATGGGGTGCATGAGAGAGAGGTTAGCCTGCACGAAGAGCAAAAGAAGACTGGGTTCTTACTAATGGCCTCTCATTGGAGTTAAAGGTATTCCAAAGGGGAACGTCCAAAATGTCCAAAAATCAGTTTTATATCAGAAGTATCTGATTAGGGGTTTGGAATGGGTGCCATATAATACGAGATTAAAAAGATTGGGACTTTTCATCTTAGAAAAGAGGAGACTAAGTGGGGGAATATGATAAAGATCTATAAAATCATGTCAGGTGTGGAGAAAGTGAATAAGGATAAGTTATTTACTTGTACCCATAATATAAGAACTAGGGGGTCACCAAATGAAATTAAGAGGTAGCAGGTTTAAAGCCAACAAGCAAAAGGAAGTTTTTCTTTACAGAGCACACTCAACCTGTGGAACTCCTGGCCAGAGGATGTCACCAAGACCAGGACTTTTAGCAGGGTTCAAAAAAGAGTGAGATACATTCATGGAGGTTAGGTCCATCAGTACTTATTAGCCATGATGGGTCGGAATGGTGTCCCTAGCATCTGTTTGTCAGGGGCCGGAAATGGATGACAGGAGAGGAATCTCTTGATTCCCTGTTTCTGTTTACTCCTTCTGGGGCATCTGGCATTGGCTACTGTCAGAAGACAGAATACTGGGCTAGATGGATCTTTGGTCTGACCCAATATGGCTGGTCTTATGTTCTTATCTATGAGGTTAGATTTTTTTTAAATGTGTTTGAGTAGCCAGGAAGATAATAAAGTAAAGTAACTAATTTTTAATTTTTTTTTCAGCTGGAAAATTGCTCATTGCACCCTTAATACTGGTATTGGGACTGGCGCTGGGAGCTATAGCTGTTGTAATAGGTAAGAACTCATGTAATGTAATGTAATAACTCTTCTGTATTTTGCTAAAAATGAAATTGGTAAGTCTAAGTAGTCAGTAGTATCATGCAGTTGAAGCTTAGTGATCGTGTCAAAAGATTACTCGGAAAATGAGAATCAGAAATTGCTCTTCTGGGTTCTAACCTGATTTTGCCACTGACCTGACATGACTTTGAGCAATTTATTCAGCCTACAGTATTGCCATTTTTAGAAATACATACATGGAGGCACAAATTACATACATACCTCACAGGCATGTTTCTGTGATTCTTGTTTGTTAAAGCAGTTTGCATGTTGTTAATGGTTTCTATATGAGAATCTCAATGCGTTATAATTATGTTTTCCTATACAGAACGGATGCCTACCAGTTATTTAAAAAGAACAAATTCTTATCAGTGAATTATACTTTGGGCTTGTCTACACTAGAACATTTTGCCACTTAAACTATATCAGTATAGTTACAGGAATAAAACCTCTGTTAGCATGGATGTAGTTTATCACAGTATGAAAGAGTTTATATCAGTAACAGAGGTAGCTGTGTTAGTCCGATCCTGGTAAAACAAAAAAAGCAGTCATGTTGTACTTTAAAGACTAACAAGATGGTTTATTAGATGATGAGCTTTCGTGGGCCAGACCCACTTCCTCAGATCAAAACTAACGGACGTTAGTTCGAACTAACATTCATAGCCGCTATACTAGCGCTCCGCTAGTTCGAATTTGAATCGAACTAGCGGAGCGCTTAGTTCGAACTAGGAAAACCTCATTTTACGAGGATTAAGCCTTAAGATCTAAATCTTTAAAAATAAAATAAAAACATTTAAAAAGCAGCAGCTGGGGAGTCCATCTTGTTTGGAGTGCACCACTGTAAGAGGCATTCTGGTCAGCAGTAGTGTACTGTGTGGAGGGAATATGGCAGAAAGTTCTCGTTCTTTTTCCAGAACTGAGGCTTCAGAGCTGTTAACCAGCACTATATTGCTCTGTCACATGCCCTTACACAACCAGCTCAGTTCAGGTGAGTAAGGTCCATTCTTACCAGGGCATACCTGTCCGTGACCTTTTCCTCTGCTTTTTACAAAGGCAATAGATAGGAAACACAAATAAACCTGCCAAAAAAAAAGAACGTACAAAATTAAAATAGCATATTATGAAACACTAAACCATAATTTCTCAATGTTTGTGCATCTGCTGAAAAACAACCACCACCCAGTATTCAAATACTGTTCTATAAATTCCAGACAAATTTTAAATGTTTATGACATTTAGACTAGCATGGAAAATATTGATCTGCAATAGCCTATTGGTTAACATTTCTTTATCTTTCATTAGTGTGGAGTTTTAAACTTATTATTAGACTTGTGAAAATGTATAGTATAAAATACCTTTCAGCAGAATGAGGTTAACAATCCTTTCTGTCCTGAAAGGGATGTGGCTTAGTTCATTAATATTTATAAAGTACTCTGAATTGGTCAGAGAGAAGGTGCAACAAAATACAACGGAGTATTTTTCATTCATGCCTGGTCTAGATCAGGATTTAAATGTGTGATGTTTGTCTGTGTTATCCAACATGTTCTAACACATTGATATTTTGCTTTAAAACATGCTCAATTTGGTCGTGTTGAAGTCCAGGTTCCTCTCTCTAGACTTGAATTCAATCACTTTATTATGGGCAAAAGCAGCATGTTTTATCTTCACATCAACAAATATGTACTAACATCACACCCTTGAGTTGATTTTTGAAGCATTTCTGTAAAAAGCAAGCTATTCAATAAACCTGACTCTGTTTAAGTGAAAAAGAACAGTTTGTTAGAAGAAGTACTTTTCAATCGAAATTGAAATAATAGTGTCATACATTTTGTCCATACAAACTGGTTAGGAAAGATGTGCTTTTCAGAGACTACTGCTCTATCGTATCATAAAGAATGTCTCCTGAAATCATTACTCCTAGCTCAGTATATACCCTAATGAACTGTCAAAATACAGATGTTGAAATTACTGGTGTAGAATGGTTTACATTACAAATATTAAGATTACTTTTACACTATGCTATTACCAGATGTTGCCATAATTACTTCAATTTCAGAGATTTACTATATATAATCAACATTTCTTTTTAAAAATGCACATACATTACTTTTCAGGATTATTTGAGTTGTCTGATCATAGCTAGGCCAAATTTACACTTAGAAATTTGCTATTATACCTATGCCAGTATATAGCTATACAAACCCCTCTTAATACAGAGAATGCAATATAGCTTCAGTACAATATAGCTTGATAAGCAAAATAAACTTTACAAGAAAAACACATTTAGTAAGGCACTTGATATGGTCTCACATGATATTCTTATCAATATAGTAGGCAAATATAACTTAGATGGGGCTACTATAAGCTGGGTGCATAACTGGCTGGATAACCACTCTCAGGGTACATCTACACTACAGTGCTAAATTCGAACTAACTTAGTTCGAATTAGTTAATTCAAACTAAGCTAATTCGAACTAACGCGTCTAGAACTAAAAACTAGTTCGAATTAGCTTAGTTTGAATTAACTAATTCGAACTAAGTTAGTTCGAATTTAGCACTGTAGTGTAGATGTACCCTGAGAGTGGTTATCCAGCCAGTTATGCACCCAGCTTATAGTAGCCCCATCTAAGTTATATTTGCCTACTATATTGATAAGAATATCATGTGAGACCATATCAAGTGCCTTACTAAATGTGTTTTTCTTGTAAAGTTTATTTTGCTTATCAAGCTATATTGTACTGAAGCTATATTGCATTCTCTGTATTAAGAGGGGTTTGTATAGCTATATACTGGCATAGGTATAATAGCAAATTTCTAAGTGTAAATTTGGCCTAGCTATGATCAGACAACTCAAATAATCCTGAAAAGTAATGTATGTGCATTTTTAAAAAGAAATGTTGATTATATATAGTAAATCTCTGAAATTGAAGTAATTATGGCAACATCTGGTAATAGCATAGTGTAAAAGTAATCTTAATATTTGTAATGTAAACCATTCTACACCAGTAATTTCAACATCTGTATTTTGACAGTTCATTAGGGTATATACTGAGCTAGGAGTAATGATTTCAGGAGACATTCTTTATGATACGATAGAGCAGTAGTCTCTGAAAAGCACATCTTTCCTAACCAGTTTGTATGGACAAAATGTATGACACTATTATTTCAATTTCGATTGAAAAGTACTTCTTCTAACAAACTGTTCTTTTTCACTTAAACAGAGTCAGGTTTATTGAATAGCTTGCTTTTTACAGAAATGCTTCAAAAATCAACTCAAGGGTGTGATGTTAGTACATATTTGTTGATGTGAAGATAAAACATGCTGCTTTTGCCCATAATAAAGTGATTGAATTCAAGTCTAGAGAGAGGAACCTGGACTTCAACACGACCAAATTGAGCATGTTTTAAAGCAAAATATCAATGTGTTAGAACATGTTGGATAACACAGACAAACATCACACATTTAAATCCTGATCTAGACCAGGCATGAATGAAAAATACTCCGTTGTATTTTGTTGCACCTTCTCTCTGACCAATTCAGAGTACTTTATAAATATTAATGAACTAAGCCACATCCCTTTCAGGACAGAAAGGATTGTTAACCTCATTCTGCTGAAAGGTATTTTATACTATACATTTTCACAAGTCTAATAATAAGTTTAAAACTCCACACTAATGAAAGATAAAGAAATGTTAACCAATAGGCTATTGCAGATCAATATTTTCCATGCTAGTCTAAATGTCATAAACATTTAAAATTTGTCTGGAATTTATAGAACAGTATTTGAATACTGGGTGGTGGTTGTTTTTCAGCAGATGCACAAACATTGAGAAATTATGGTTTAGTGTTTCATAATATGCTATTTTAATTTTGTACGTTCTTTTTTTTTGGCAGGTTTATTTGTGTTTCCTATCTATTGCCTTTGTAAAAAGCAGAGGAAAAGGTCACGGACAGGTATGCCCTGGTAAGAATGGACCTTACTCACCTGAACTGAGCTGGTTGTGTAAGGGCATGTGACAGAGCAATATAGTGCTGGTTAACAGCTCTGAAGCCTCAGTTCTGGAAAAAGAACGAGAACTTTCTGCCATATTCCCTCCACACAGTACACTACTGCTGACCAGAATGCCTCTTACAGTGGTGCACTCCAAACAAGATGGACTCCCCAGCTGCTGCTTTTTAAATGTTTTTATTTTATTTTTAAAGATTTAGATCTAAGTTTGTTTCCTGGACAATCAAAGTCTGTATTGTAGCCACAACTCTACTGATTGTCATGTGAAGAAAGCATTGTTAACATTTTCCATTTCGCTTCTGTAGAGACCTTTCAGGGGAAATGCCTAGAAGTTTTTGGACTTTTAGTGTACAGCAGTGGTCCCCAACCTTTAGAGGCTCCCGGGCGCCCACGTCCGGGGGCTCGCCAGGGGACTGGGATTCCCTTGCACCTGGCGCCGGCGTGTGCCCTAGGGCCGGGGCTGGGGCCGCCCGAGCGCCTTGTGCTGTGGGCCCGGGGCCGGCGCTGCCGCCCGAGCCACACACCTGGGGCCAGCACCGGCGCCGCTCGAGCACCATGCGCCCGAGCGCCCACATGTGTAC